TTAATTCCGAAGAAGGTTGGGGCTTGTCACCCTAAAGAGTTCAGACCCATCAGTCTGGTTAACAGCCTCTACAAGATCATTGCTAAGGTGTTATCCAAAAGAATTAGAGTGGTGCTCCCCTCAATTACCTCCCATAACCAAGGTGCCTTTTTGATGAGTAGGCAAATTGTGGACCAAATCTTAATTGCAAATGAGAGTGTGGAGGATTACAGAAGTAGAGGTGAGAAAGGGTTGGTGTGTAAGCTGGATTTGGAAAAGGCATATGATCTGGTTGATTGGTCTCTATTGATGGAAGTTTTAGAGTCTTTTGGGTTTGGGCAAAAGTGGTTCAAGTGGATAAAAGGGTGCATTAGAACTTGCCATTATTCTGTGTTAGTAAACGGCAAAGTGGTGGATCACTTTCCAGCTGTCCGGGGTATTAGGCAAGGGGACCCTCTCTCCCCTTTCCTCTTTACCCTAATTGCTGAAGTGTTAGGGAGGCTTATTGAGAGGGCAGACTCCAGAAATCTGATTAGTGGTTGGAGAGTGGGGAGGGATAGGGTTCCGGTCACTCACCTACAATTTGCAGATGACACAATTCTGTTTTGTGATGGCAAGGAGATTAGTGGGGTGAGCAATCTAAAGATGGTGATTAAAGTGTTTGAACAAATGACTAACCTCAAAGTAAACCTGGATAAGAGTTGTGTGATTGGTATTAATATGAGTGAAGGAGAGGTGGAGGAAAGGGCCCAAGCAATAGGTTGTTAGATAGCTCATTGGCCACTGAAGTATTTAGGGCTTCCTTTAGGGGATAATCCTAAAAAAAGGAGTTTTTGGAATCCGGTGATTGATAGGTTCACTAAAAGGCTAGCTTCTTGGAAGAAGAATTACTTGTCTTTGGGGGGTGGATAACCCTGATTAAGTCAACATTGGCAAACCTTCCAGTCTATTACTTGTCAGTGTTCAAAATCCCTAAAGGAGTTTGTAGGGAGTTGGAAAAACTAATGACGGACTTTTTATGGGAACCCGGGGAGGAGAAAAGGGACCATAAGGTTAGGTGGGAGCTGGTTACAAGAGCTAAAAGTGAAGGGGGACTGGGGCTGGGGAACTTGAAGAAGAAGAATGAAGCTCTGTTAGGGAAATGGTTATGGAGATGGTCCAAAGAAAAGGAGAATCTGTGGGCAAAAATAATCCTAAGTATTCATGGGCAAGAGGCAGTTGGCTGGGATCCGGGACTATCATCTAGGGTTTCAAGAGCCTCTCCTTGGAAGTCCATTCATGCCATCCTTCAGTCTTTTCTTCCCTTCATCAGGTATGATCTTGGTTCTGGTTTGTCGGTAATTTTTGGGAACACACTTGGGTGGGGGATTTTCCTTTGAAAGAGCAGTTCCCCTCCTTGTATGCTCTGTCTAGGTTTAAAAATGAACCAGTAGCAACCTTTGCTACCCTATCTAATTCTGCTATTGGTTGGAACCCAGGTCTTAGAAGGGCTCTAAGAGATTCTGAGTTGGAACCCATTTCGAATTTGCTTAAAATCTTGGATGATGTAGCTCTTGAACCTTCCAGTGTGGACTCTAGGGTTTGGTCTCTTGTCCCTTCGGGTATCTTCTCCTGCTCCTCTTTTTTCAAAGCATTGACACAGCCTAGTCCAATACCTGGGTCTTCTTTTCCAATCCTGGAAGTTTGGGGTAGCCCTATCCCTCCTAGGGTAGGTGCTTTTTGCTAGGAAGCAATCCTAGAAAAGTGTAACACTTGTGACATACTTCAAAAGAAAAGGCC